AAACAGCTATCACAAAAGTCTTTTCACACCTAAGGAAGACAGAGCAAAGTCCAATTTATCTTCCCTGTCTAGAATTGCTTTGAGAAATCAAAGAATGAATGGGTCTGTTTCTTGTAGCTTTCCCGGGATTCACTGAGGATGCCAAAGTTAGAACAGATAACAACAACATTTAAACAACCGTCACAGAACAAGTTGGTATTACTATTTTTGTTAATTTCTATAGCAGAATCTGAGTTATATCTAGACATTACTACACCAAATGACAATTAGGCAATATGAAGCGACATATGTAAAAACAAAACTGCATCCACACATACCAGAACCATGATACCATGTAATATGGTCTAATAAGTTAGTCTGCTTAAGTTTTAGTGTAAAATGTGCTACATCATGTTACAACTTAATCAGATTTGTTACCAATGCCATTATCACTTAAAAAAAAAAAGCAAGCTTGCTTTAAAAATTAGTATGCTTTGCAAATCTATCTTCCTAAAAGATGTCTTAAAATTAAGATATATGCATATAAAACAGCTTTTTGTAGGCAAGATATAAGATGTAAGTTGCACCTAGGCAAACCTTAACATATATTTATATTCTCTGAAAAGCATGAATCATCGTTTAATACGACAGGCAGTTTACTGATTTATGTACAGTTATCTCAACACCTTATAGTGGTGGAACTACCAATCTCTTGGAAATTAATATAGGAAGCTCTTTCACATTTAGGGAGAAAATAAAAATAACTATCTCTAGTTAGCGGTATTCAGTGTTTTGTGTCTTAAGAATTATTCCCCCTCCCCTTTCCTTAAATAGACTGCTTGACATTTAAAAATAGATCTATTCTTCATGTTAAAATGCATTTCCATGATTCAGAAATTAAAGTGGAAAAGACTAATTAATTAAATTTAACCAAACCGCTTCATAATAAAAGTCTACTTTCTATTCTGCATTGCTTTGCTCAGACTACAGTAAAGTGATACAACTAGCACCAGTTTCTCCTAGAATCAATACTGCAAAGCAATATCTCTCTTGGATCCCCAATATCCGGACAGAAAAAGCTTTCTGTGTTCAGAGCCATCTCACTATAAGCCACTTAGCTTGCAAATGGTGTCAGATTTGTAAAGAATTTATCTGGGTTTATTCCTTTCTTTAAAGTTCATGTCTTCAGATAATAACCTTGCACTAAAACAGGCCATTTCTACAGAAGTGTTAGCACAAAGCACTAAAAGCTAAAATAATGATCCTAAAAGATATGGGCATAAACTCAGTAACCAAACATCAGAAGACAATCCCAGCTGTTATAATGCATGGGAAGCTCAGAGAAGAAACGCAAAGACCTCCTCTCACTCCTTTTCCCATGCTCGCCCTCCAAAGCTCAGCCCATCTAATAACAGATATAAACAATTCAGAAGACATTGGTCACAAACCTCCAAGGCTTTTCCCTGCCTCGAGAGCTGGCCACCACGCCTCCCCTAAGCTGCCCTCCGCTCCCTCCCCACCGCGCACTGGCTACCTAGCACCTGACACACAAGCATCCCCCGGCAAGCTGCTGTGTGACCTTGTCACAGCCAATTAACAGTAACGGTGCCTGCATTTATTCTGCTCTCAAAAGATAGGGGCTCTCCCACATGCCACTGCAAAACAACTGGCCAGGGACAAACCCTTGAGTGGTACTGATGTCCAGACAGATACCTGTTTTCTAGCCCTTCAAACAAGAATAAAATGCTGGAATAACCGTCAACCAGCGAGATAACGACCTGGGGAAAAGCTATGGGTCAAGTATCTGAGGAAGAACAAGGACCAAATGGCTGTAACTGCGTACCAGAGAGTTTTGCCCTATTCTTTGACTACAGTGAGTTTCCAGCACTCACCAGCGCAGATGCCACGTGCTCCAGAGACATGGGATCGTGGCCCAACACACTACCCGGCCAGGCCAGCCCACCACACCATGCTGCAGGCTGCCACTCGGGAGATTAAAGAAGATGCAGCGGTTTCTCCTCTGTCATATGCATGGATTGCCATCCAGTAACAAAGTTTGTACATCACTCTGGAGACACAATATAGTATTATTTAGACCAAAATGACTTGAGAATCCAATTATCTCATGGCCAGAATCAGCCTCCTGAGCTGCTGGCGATGACAATTTTTCCTGCAGCCATCACAGAAACCCTGAGCCCAACACCTCAACCACCCTTTCATTTACAAATACGTATCTGAAAGTCTAATTACGACAACCATTAACTGAGAAGTCAAAAATTACTTCACATTACACATGCAGTGAAAAATAACTAAGTATTCACATTATACTAATTCCACTAGTAAAATGAAAGAGGATGCACCTATGAGGACGTCTCTATGAGTAAAAAGAATATTATAAATACAAAATTTTAAGCTGCTGAAACCATAACCTCACACACAAAAAAACTACTGCCTTCTGTGAGACAGTCTTCCGTGCAAGTCTTGTTTATAAGAGGCTACATGACTTCCTACTTTGGATTATCAAAAAGGGCAGTGACCTACTGGGATGCATGCTTATCTACATACAGGTCAAGGCTATTACATAAGCCTACATTCAGCACCGTTCAGTTCTAGCGCAGAAGAGTCAGAGGACCGCTCTCGTCAGCAGCCGCTGGCTTGAATCTGAAGATGAGACAAGCAAATGACAGCAAGACACTTCTGTTCACACAAACATGGAGGACACACCAACTACCGGCTGTTTGCAGCTGCATCAACAGAAAAAAAAAAATTGCATTTCACTTTTAAAGAGAGAAAAAGAATGACCTGTTGATTCTTTTTCCTACAAACTAAAGCCAACAAATAATTGATAACACTGGAAACTAGAAGTCCTTCACTTCCTGCAGCCCCACAAAACAACAGTCTTGAAAATTTCTGACCCCTAAATATGCTTGGCAACATACCTACTGTGATTTTAAAACTGAGTCATTACAAAATTAGTAGAAAATACACCGTCTATTCCTTTTTCTCTAAGCTTTTGAAGAAGATAGGTTTGTTAGGAGTGCATAGGTTTTAGCATATTGGATTGACAAATAAAAAAATAAAATCACATTCTGTATTCTCCCTGTTCAGATGGAACTCAATTGTCTAGCATTCTCCTGAATTCATCTGCTGATGTCACACAGAACGGCTTATACAGGTTTCCAAGCTTCTTATTTCCAAGTGTTCCTGCTTTTTTTCCCCTTGGCCTTAATTTTTCTGTCATGTGACAGTGGGTTTAGGTAAATCTCTGCTTTATTTTGCCTCAACCCAAAACAACTGCACTTAATATTACAAGGAACATAACACAAACTGATTCTGCATGAGAACTCCCAAATATAGAATAGCCATAAACTTTTATTATGCTTGATAAGGACTGCAACAACTTATTTTCCCCTTGTAATAGGGCTTGGGGGGGGGAGGGGGATAGGAAGGGTGAGAACAGATATGCCTCTCCTTCCTAAATGTTCAGAAAGAATCATAGGCATGGGGGTTTACACACGTAAAGGCCAGAACCTCGGCCCATTGCCTTCCCTCCAGTCTTCATTTGTGTCTGAGAGGCAAAGCTGTTTATGCTCTTATTTTCTTGCAGCTCATCTACAGTCAGAGATGAGAACAGCAGACAATAAAATGCGAGATTGCACGTCTGGCTTTCCACCCTCTTCCACCAGCATAAAAATCTCCTAACAGCCCAGACCCATCTTCTGCAACTCGCACACGCTGATCACTCACATGCGAGCACAGAGACTGCAAGATTCAACACGTTGCGTTTCTTAGAATATTGTTTCAGTGAAGAAATCACTTCCAGCTCTCATGAAACTAGTCTCAAAGGATCCAAATTTAATGCCATCCAAGACTACTTTTTATGAACAACAAGAACCACAAAACCTAAAACATTTGTAGTAATGGTCCTTGCTAAAAAAAAAAAAATAATCAAAAGAGAAAGCACTGGTTTGCAAAAAAACAGCGGACAGAAAATCCACTATATAGGTTTTACATATCCTCATTAGTCTTAGCACTTTTGCACAGGTTACTGATGCACACAGAACATGAAGATCACTGGTAATCAGATTTGCTATTAAATGAGGTAGAAGAAACCACAGCAGAAGAAAAAAAATTATAAACAGACTACTTAAAAATATTAATAGATTTAATACCTCCTGTCTTTGCCTGAAGTATAGTAGCCACCAACCCGTTAAAATAATCCTTGTCTCATGCTCTCCTCTGCATAATTCTGAACATGTCTTATTCTCTCATTAATCATGTCTCTTACTATTCCCAGTCACCTAGAAGCACCCAAACAAACGTTCGCCAATTCTCATTTTGCAACGAAGGAGAAATAGACAGTTCTAGCAACTATTTTTCCTTTACTATTTCAGATCAATAGAAATATGTTATAAAAAATAAAAATAAAATTTAGTTTTCTGTTAACTTGGAAGAAGGTTTTAACTGATTCTTGGGAAAACAGTTAGCACCCTAACTGAACTACAGATAAGTAGGGTCCTTATGAAGAAAATACTTCACTGCAAAACAGCTGTGCCAAATCTTATTTACCCTGTTTTTTCATTATATACATTTACGCAAAATGAATACAAAAGGCTAGCAAAATCAGAACAGTGATTTTCATAGCCACTTCCACGTACTCTGCTCTGCTGTGTACGGTGACAGGATGTGGAGAAAAATGGGGGAAAAGAAAAAAAAAAGAGAGAGAGAGAGACTCACGGGCTTCCAGAGAGCTTTGAAAGCAGCATTCAAAATTCACAGATCAAATTTTTATTCCATCTCTACGGTAAATACACTCGATCGCTAGCTTTCAGTGGCACGCACGTCTTCTCTCTCAACCTCCTATTCCAAAAAAGCAGAGACGCCAACAGCTCCTCAGAAAGAAACCCGAATACCACGGCTTTGACTCAATTACCACGGCTATCCTACAAAGTTATCTGGACCCAGCGTTTCAGGCCAGCCTCATCCCTGCTGGAAAGGGTCGCAACTGCCTAAAAACGCACCTGGAACCAGGAAGAGAAAGTAGAAAGGAGCAAAGCGTGAAATACATCACCCCGAGGTCCTCCTGCCCCGCGGGGCTCGGCGGCACCGAGCGGAACAGCAGCGCGCGGAGCCCCC